ACAAGTTGTACCATATTAATTCTACCTAAACCCGAACTAATATTTGACTAGCGACCAGGGTCGGTCCTAAGATTTTTAATGCCCTATGCGAAGATAATAAAAAATGTCCCTAAGCCTATTTTTTTAAGCCAATTAAACAACGAAACATGTGATTTTTTAAAGAGTTTAACCTATTCAAATAAGTATCTCATCCTCATGTTGATTTTTATTAATTATAATAAAAAAATACAATTGGATGACATAAAAACCAAAACCCCGAATACAAAAAAGGATAAATAATGGATTAAGATCGTGTTTTCCTCTTTTTCAGTTTTTCCTTTTCCAAATTGAAATTAGTAAAATAGAAACTTTATTTTAATATATGAGACCTAAAAGACAAGGTTCACTATAATTAGTTTTTAACTAAAATAGTAAATTACTGTCATAGTGAGCAAAACGTAAAACTCAAAAATTACAAGTCTAATGACTAAAGGCTAAGGGTCTATCTGTTAGCAACTTAATAAGTTTAATGGAACTAACAACTTATTTGGTCAACTATGTATGACTATTTTGTAGTGGCTTAATGATATAGAAAATAACTTATCSAGTAAACTTCTAGGGGGGAGCTTTATATAGAAAGCCAATTCTTTTTTCCAAACATGTATCTTCCAAGTAAAAAAAAATGCTCCTTACATATGCGAAAAAACTCTCCTAAACAAAAACTTTTCCAGCTTATTACAGATTAATTCAAACAGACAACTTTATTCATGCAGACAACTTTATACAAACAAAAACTTTTCCAACTTTCCAACTTTTTACAACGATGTGCATTAAATATTCATCACTACTAGGCCTCGGGCCTGTTTTTATAATTAAAGCTCAGTTGTCCAATTCCCAAATTATTAAACCAAAAACTAGTAATATATGATAACTTGATGCCCTTTTGTGCTTTGATGCCCTGTGCGACCGCACGGGCTGCACGTGGCCAGGGCCGGCCCTACTAGCGACATTTTAGAATAGTATATTTTAAGGTTATTATTACATTAATATATAACACAAAATAATACATAAACAAGATAATTGGCATTGCCTTTCATTATATATTCCAACACGGTGTCCAAACAGAATCATCCGATAGTTGGCTTTTGGACATGTACATTAATATAACTTTCAAAGATGGGTCTTGGCCCATGGGCTCAATTTCTACAAGAATCTGCAAATTCAAGATTTATAGATTTCTATCATTTGTTTTATAGCTTATATGTTTATACCTTAGATTTTGTATAAAATAATTCATTTTGTAAATTTCTTTTCATAATATGTACACATTTTGTGTTGAGGATTAGGGTGCTCAAAAATCCGATTAACCCGACTAATCCGATCAACCCAACAAATGCGAAATAACCCAACTCGAAGTAACCTGATGTCTAATCGAATTGTAAAATTGTCAAACCGTAAGTATTGGGTTACTATTATTTGAACCCAACCCAACCCGATAAACTCGATATCCTTTTATTTCTTGGATTTAATATGATGAATTTATATTAATATATACATTAGACAATTACACTATCATGTATGTTTTTCATATACACATATTTTCAATCTATTCATATCTCTATATAACTCATTCATATATATGTTCAGTAACTGTGAACATATATATGTAAATTGAGAAAATTAACTGAATGTGATATACGTAAAAAAATATGGATAAGTTGTAACAAATGATTGATGATGAAAAAGAAATTATGAGTAGAAAAATAACATATTCAAGGTTAGAAGAATATTTTAATATACCAAAGTATCAACCTGACCAACCCATACAGGTTGGGTTGCACTTTGGTTTGGGTTGGGTTGGGTTAAGATTTTTCCAAACCGCAAGCATTAGGTTGGGTTGTTCAAATGTCTTCAACCCAACCCATGAACACCCCTATTGAGGATTGATTACTCCTAACAACAGATCCGCTATGACTTATGTGTATTTATACCAAATGTTTAAAGTTCTTCGTTGTTGCACAACCTTTTCCACGTGCCATTTTAACATGCAAGTTTTATGTCATTAGAAAGCAAAGTGTGCCACATTTCTTACATTATGCATTGCTAACGTTATGACCGGGTTGTTTTTTATACTGGTTTGGAAGTTGAGGGTAGTTTCTAGTTAGTTGTGAAAAATTGAGGGGTATATTTTGAATATTTGGTTTAAAATTTTAAAAATACATTCATCTATACTATATTATAAAACATTTAACAAAAACTCTTAAAAACCATTTTTATGCATTAAGTATTGTTTATTGATGCATATTACTTAAAATTCAAGATTAAAAGTAAATTATGCGTATGTACAACTTATTAAAATTCCATGTTTAAATCTATGTAATTGACTGCAGATAAACATAATCAAATATTAGATAGATATCTTATTTTAAATATAAATAATTTAAAATTTATTTAGGATAATTATTGAATCATAAC